TAGAAGGTCTAGTGGCTGTAGGGAAGGCTAAGGGATTTTTTGCAGATCCTAATACAATATTTGAGGAGAGTGAGTGGCGAAAGTTTGGTGATGAACTATTTGACTCAGTGCTTAATGATTATAAAAAGGCAAACTCGGTAAACCACGGAGGGAAGTAATAAACTGTATAAAAAGATACAAGGCAGAAAAGAAAACTGCCATGGTAGCAACGGAGTAATTAGGAACAGACGTCCCCGGTCGGTTGAAACCAGGGGAAGATTACAACTCGTTTCCCCCAACTCGCGGGAGCACAGGGTTTCCACCCCCCCCCCCCCCCTCCTTTTCTCCCCCTCCTTCATCAGAAGGTGCAGCGGAGGAGGTGTAACCCCCTGCTCCCCCACCACCCCAGTTCTGAAAGTAGGGACTTTAAAAAGGACAGAGAAAGTATATTAGAAGGGATACGTATGATAAATGTCGAGGAATCCGAAAGAAAGAGGGCGGTGCCTCGTCGCCGGATCGATTGCGGCGCCACTGTGAAGCACGCAGTAGAAAATAGGGATCATGCGCTAGCGGGAGATTTAAAGGAACTGCGAGCCTCTCCACCCCACTGTGCCCTAGAGTGAAAAAAATTTTAACTCAGTCACGGAGGAGCGAGGTCTGCAGATGGCCACATACCGAACGGGAGACATCTGATAAGAAAGACACAGCTGCGAGCAATGGAGACCCCGAGTTCGGCGCAGGATCAGCCCCCGAATCCCGTGAATCCGAGCCAGATTTATATCCTCTGCTTCCAGACCCTGACTCTTCGTCTCCTGGGTCGGTCTGCTCAGACTCACTGGCCCTGGAGACGCTCCGTTGTAACAATGGGTAACCAAGGATGCGAACATTACTGGGGAATTTTCTGCAATGGGCATCTTTGCATATCCTGTGTTTACTACACAGCAGGGGGCTAAAGAGTGGGAAGCTCTTGATCTCAAAATAGTTAAGGAGGCCTGACAAGCAGTGACCACGTATGGGTTAAAATCCTCTTATACTCAAGCTGTATATGTTATGATTTTTTCTTGCAATTGACAGGGGGAGCCCATACAGTTTCTCTGTGATACTCATGTACTAGAAGTTGGTAAATATAAGTATGTCCAGATTTCTGTCAACCCTTGGAGACCTTTGTAGATACTGCTGGCCAATTCTTCCAGCACAGGCTGGCCACCTGTGTCGGAATGAGTGTGCATTTTGGTCAGTATAAAAGGCCAAGCCTCATACGATGTGGGGGAGGCAGAGCCTCTGCGGGGACGCCCACTAAGGTTGAGCCTGCCACCTCGCACTGCAATGATGCTTCTCGGAGCTGGTTTGCTGTTAGTCTCCACAGGGTCCTTGTGCCTGTGTACGTGGGACTGTAGTGGGAGTAATGATGGCTTTTGCAGGGACTAAAAAAAAAAAAAAGGGGGGGGGGGGAGAGTAATGATGCTGCACTTAACCTGTCTACTTCTCAAGAACTGATAACCTGGGGGAGGGGGTATATTTTATTTGTGTCCTCCTGCCTACAGGTCCATGGTGACTGCCTGCAAAGTTTGTCAAGCCTTGCCATTAGCTGGACAGACAAATGGATAAACCTGATGCCTCAGCTACGGGAGCTGACCGTGATTACCCCAAGCAGAATGAGATAGAGGAAGAGAAAGAACAAATAACTGCAAAACATCACTTGGGGGCACATGAAAAGTAACATCCTGAATATGTGTGCTTGTAAAGTAGCTATTATTAGAGGTTGTGATTTTGTGTATAAAACCACCTGTATTTACTAGCTAGTTGCTAATAAGAAACTGCACCTTGTATTGTATAGATTTGTCACTTGTAAAAAAGATGTTAGAGTATGGAAATTTGCAGTAGCTGCTAGAAAATGCTAACGCAAAAGCTAGAAAAATTTTAATACAATGGTAGTGTTATAAAGCAGGTGATGGAACAAATTTAAGAGGGTGGGAGAATCCCACTGGTAAGAAATTTCTTTGGCTAGTCCTTCACTGCCATCAGCATCTTCAACATGCTGCTGCACCCTGTAATAGTTACTCTGCTAATGTAAATTTGTGTGTGCCTTGCTGTAGTAGCAACTTGTTACTGGATGAAGCAGGTGAAACTGTGCATTGACAACAAGGTGCAAGGACTGAGGCTGACCAAATGCCTGCTGCCACAATCAAGGGCAAGACTGGGTTGGCTTCTGTGTTTGCCACCAAGAAGAACCTTTAGCTCCGCTGTTGGCTGCAACCCAGCAGGCGTGGAGCGGTGGGGACACATGCCATGCCAGACCTTGATGTGAAGGATCAGAGAGCTATACAGCCTGTTATCAGAGAGCCATACAGCAGAAAAAAGGGGCAGGCCCAGGCAGCCTCTAGTTGGCATATGTTGGAAATATAATCTAGCCCAGATCCCCTGCTCAAGTAGGGCCACCCAAACTGTGTATAAGACATAAAGGGGGAAGATGTGGAGACAGTGTTCTCACAGGAGAATGCATAAGTGGTACATAAACTTTGAATAGTCCTGAAAGATACAGCAAGGCCATGGGAGGCCCGAAGAAGCTTAAGCAAGCAAGATAAGAGGCTGGAATTCACCAAGTTAATGAGAACTGTGGACTGTTGGCAAGCTTTCAAGGTTGAGTTCTCACACCTGTGTTTAACCAATTATATGTTAGTCACTAAGGGTCTTCAAAACATGTATCCAATCATAATATGCCAAATCACTGTAAGTGCTTCAGCCGGGGCCTTGGCTCAACTAAGCAGACTGGGTTGCTGAGTTGCTAAGCAGACAATTCTACATCGAAGGCAATTCCAGATTTGTTTTAATATTGACTCTGTAAGACATGCAACACTGCGGAACCTTTTGTTGTTGGAACAGGGACATGGATGTGAAGAGTGTGATGGAATGTGTTGTATGAGTGTCTCTGATTATGCTAATTCGATGCACGCACAGCTGAGAACCCTGGCTCAGCTTACCCAGCAATAGTAAATGAGCAATATCCTAAGAATAACTAGATGGTTGTCTTCACGGGGCATTACAGGTTGAGTCAAACACTGCGGTTTAAAGTATTGCACTTATGTATCATTGTTAGGTTAATCATCGTAGCTATTAGACTTGCTTATAGTTGTGTGATACAACAGGTGAACAGAATAACCCACAATGCCTTGCTCGCACAAAGAAAAAGGGGGGAATTGTTGCAGAATGACTCTAAGAGCAGGACCATAGAGTTCTGGAGGACTGCGCAAGCAAGGCAGGGGGTGGCCCCCACAGGTAGCCGGAGACCGGACCTGGGAGGAGAATGTGGAGGAGGCTGTGGGGGGCTAACCAATACTGTTGTGCCAAGAAGGAGTGGCTGAATACCACTCCTATGTATGTGTGAACTGCGTCACAAATAAAGTAGATGTTTGCTTATCACCCATAATTGGGTTGGCCTGTCTGCTTCTCCTCGCCGCTTACAATATGGAGTACCAGATATTCCTTGAGCATACTAAAGGAAGTATCAGATACCTCATCAATTAAGCAAAAGAAAGCACAGTCCCAGTTTATGTGTATAATTCCTACAGAATATTGTATAATTCTGTCCACGGCTTTAGGGATGAAGCGTTATTCCATGACAAAAGGGCTTAGTGTGTGAGGCCACTGGGCACTGGAAAGCAAGACCGAGCCCAGCCATGAGAAAGCCACACAGAGCAAAGGCAGGGCAGTATAACCCTCTGTGAGCTACTGTGTGCACTTTGTAGCTCCAGATTTGGAAGAGCAACAGCAATGAAGCTGAAGGCAAGTGTGCAGCAGTGCCATATTTAGACAAGGAGGCCTTTGTCTGTGATGGAGCCATCATCTACTTATTGTGTCTAGGTAAGCTAGATGAACATCCCAGAGTATCAAATAAAGAAAGCCAACAGCAAGGTGCAATAGCACAAGCAAATAGATGATAGTCCAATAAGCATACTGTCATCAAATCCATGAGACATAGCAGGCTGTGCAAGGTGGTTTGAAAGCCTCTTCCCAGCTATTTGTAATATTTTTTATGCCATTACCAAAACAGATACAAACAAAAGCAGATACTAGCACAAAGGACAGTTAAAATGAATTGCAGAAAGATAAGATATAGCAGATATCTTGCTTGAAGCTTGCCAAGAAAGAAAAATCTGGTGGAACTACTGGGGAGCAAGTCAGTAGGAACATTATTCAGGGGCTAACTGCTCTTGCACGTTTGAAGTGCACCTTGCACCTTGCTCTTGCACCTTGGAAGGCAGACGCAGGGACTATGGGAATGAAAACCCTAGGCCCACTGTAGGAGAGGATCTGGTTAGAGACATCAGGTCACCATATGATGCAGCATTAAATATGTTTAGTAAGCATTCTGCTGATGTCAGTTGTCTGGAGGAGATGTACTTCTCAAGCATTCTGCTGTTTCCAAAGCAGCATTTCTTACCTTTCTATGGTGATGTGCTGGTATTGTTTGGGGCTGCAAAGCAGTATCATCTTCATGCTGTAATGAAAGTATGCCTTCAGGGTTAGCATGCTTACATAATGAATTGCTTCTAATATACCTTGTCTGACTATTAGCCAAAGCTTTGATCATTCTTGAGCACAGACTAAATTTTTATATGGTGAATGGGGACACAAAGTGTCTAGTTGTGATTTTTGACTCTTGTGCATTTACTATGATCTCTTTGCTTTGTTTTATTTAAACCTCAGTTTCTTCCTCTGGGAAATGAATATATTAAAACCTGTCAACCTCATAAATGTGACAGGAGGATTAATCAATCTGCTTTTACAAATATCCTCAAATGGAACATGAGAGAATAGGAGTTTTTTGAATTTTTAGAATTGTTTAAATACAGAAACTTTTTTCTTCTTCAGTTGCTTACTGTTTTCAAACATGTTGCTCAAGCTTTTAAGACTTTTTTTTTAAAGTGGAGATAATTTAAAGCAGAGGAAAATGCTAAAAATACTCTCAATGTGTGCATTTTAAACACAGTCTCAAAATTTATTCTCTTAACTATATTTATGAAAGCCATAACACTTTGGGAATGATGTAAAAATATACATGAAGACTTGCAGACATTTTTTGGACATATACTCTTCCTGACAAGCAAACACTGTGAACCTTTACAAGTGTATTAGCTAAAACAGTACAGCTAGGTACAGGTTCATGTGAATTTAAAGGTCTGTTGATCAAGGTCTAAATTGTTTTCGAAAACTTTGGTTGTTATAAATAAGCAAGACTACCTCTGTTTTGTACGAATAAATTCTGTGCATATGTCAAAGCAAGCAGACTTCCAGCATTTTGCAGAAAGTGTGAAATACCTTGTTTATATCATTCTTTCTGAAGTTCAAAGGAATTTCCACAGGAGAGATAATATACATACATGGACATGCTTGGGCTGTAAGGAAAGCTAGGTAAAAATTACCTTATGATTTCAGTGGAAATATAAGCAAAAGGTAAACCTTGGATATGATTTTTAGAACTGAGACTTTAAAATCCTGCCTAGTGGTAGCTTTGTGAGCTTGAAAAAGGAGACAGCTCAACACACAGCTCAAAAAACCCTGCTCCAAACCCATGCTTAAATGGATTAAGAACCCCCCTAAAAAATAGAAAAATCTGTACATCAAGAAAAAAAAAAACCCACGAGGATTTGAAAAGGCTCATTAGGTGCAAGATGCCCATATGTCTTGATAACAGGCCCCAAAAGGACATAACCAGAAAAAGATGCCGTTTCAGCTCTTACTGTGATCTCAAAGGAGCAGTTAACAGAGAAAGTTAAATATAACACTGTCAGTGCTGATGTTTAGGTATATGTATTTGCAATCTCCAGCTACTACAAACTGCATCACATTCGCAGAGTCAAATTTAATGTTTTGGGCATATTCTACCCTTGGAACCCCATTCTTTCAGATTCTGTAAGGAAGGCACTTTTCTTCTCTATAGCAATATTTTAACAGATTTTTTTTTTTTTAATTGTTCTGCTTGTTGCGGAGAGTTAGATTGCCTGGAAGCAGAGCTTTTGTGACTCAGTCATTTGATGTTCTAAGTAGAGATGGTGAGAAGGGATGGAAGTAGCATAAATAAAATATAAAAATAAAATGCATTGCTTTGTCTGACCTGCTTGAAATGCCAGATTAATCTCTGCTTGATTTAGCACCCCCTCCCCCCCCGTCCTTGTTCATCTAACAAATGGTTTCATAGCAATGTGTTGAACACAGTTTAATTTTATCTCTAAAGCCATGGATCCCAATAGGAGTTATTAGTACTATGACATGAGTTTTAAAAACTCAATCCCATGAACACAAATCATTTTAAAGAGGAGAGATTTCATGTGCATAGCTCCTGAATATAGAATCATAGAATCATAGAATCATAGAATCATAGAATAGTTAGGGTTGGAAAGGACCTCAAGATCATCAAGTTCCAACCCCCCTGCCATGGGCAGGGACACCTCACACTAAACCATATCTCCCAAGGCTTCGTCCAACCTGGTCTTGAACACTGCCAGGGATGGACAATGCACAACCTCCCTGGGCAACCTATTCCAGTGCCTCACCACCCTAACAGGAAAGAATTTCCTCCTCATATCCAATCTCTTTAACTCTAAAGCAGCTTCTCTAAATTGGAATATATTTCCTACTCATTTCTTGAGCTACTGTGTTTAAATAAAAGCTTCCTCATGGACCATTTAGTTTTACTACCTGTACTCTAACCAGTAGACCAAGAAACACAAGGACTTGGAAGACATAATGCCTACTCTCTGTACTCAGCTCTGCCATCTTCCTGCTGTTTCAATTTCCTGGGCAGAAAGGGAAGGGGTGATAAAACTTTCAGATATTTGAAGCAATTTATACTGAGTTTGTGGTTGTTATTGAAATTCAAAAGATTAGTTTGTCTTATCATATGTAGATAATTTTGCAAGGGATAAGTTTGTTGCAGCTCTTCTGAAAGAAAAAGGCTAGGAAGGATCATATAATCTAGCTGTACAATAGAGAACTGCAGATCTTCATTAATAGAGCTGATTGAAATTTGGATTTCTGTTTTCTCATAAAGTTTTGAAATTTGTGCAAATAGGGAATAAAATGAGTTTGTGGAACCAGTTTTCCTTTGGTTTAATTTTGCAAAGCTCAGAAAATGTCATCGAAGAAAATTGCCTTAGGCAGTTTGCCATTTTTAGAAGTGCAGTTTGAAATATGTAATGTCAACCAGAGCATTGCATTTTTAAAAAAAGTAGTATTATTTAATGCTTTTTCAGTAGTAACAATAACAACATTAGACCAATAGTACTGCTGATGACCTTACTTGGTGTTAAACAAAAGAGTATTTTAAGGACTATGGGTGGTTGTCTCTTAATGATGACTGAGATTTCTTCTTCTCTTAAACAATAAGATATTAGATGAGTTGTTACTAGTATTGCTACAGCATAAATATGCAAGTATTTAGAGGGGAAAAAAGAAGTATTTCCCTTGGTACTAATTAACTACCATATTTAACTATCTTGTGAAGAAAGGAATATAACAATATTATAAAAAGACATTGAAATGATGCAATACACCATTGAGATACAAATCATGAAAAAATAAAACCCCATGCATAGACAAAAAAGTTGTTTCTGGTCTTGAGTATTATCTATGTCAGACAGTTCTTTTGAAATACACTTTTTCCCTCTTTATCTGGTTTGCTTCATCCTCTTGAACCATTACACTTCTTCGTACCTTCCACTTCTTGTTCTGAAAGTTTCCTCGTAGAATCACAGAATCATAGAATCGTTAGGGTTGGAAAGGACCTTAAGATCATCTAGTTCCAACCCCTCTGCCATGGGCAGGGACACCTAACACTAAATCTTATCACCCAAGGCCTCGTCCAACCTGGCCTTGAACACTGCCAGGGATGGAACATTCACGACTTCCCTGGGCAATCTATTCCAGTGCCTCACCACCCTAACAGGAAAGAATTTCCTTCTTATATCCAACCTAAACTTCCCCTGTTTAAGTTTTAACTCGTTACCCCTTGTCCTGTCACTACAGTCCCTAATGAAGAGTCCCTCCCCAGCAGCCCTATAGGCCCCCTTCAGATACTGGAAGACTGCTATGAGGTCTCCACGCAGCCTTCTCTTCTCCAAGCAGAACAGCTCCAACTTCCTCAGCCTGTCTTCATACGAGAGGTGCTCCAGTCCCCTGATCATCCTCGTGGCCCTTCTCTGGACTTGTTCCAACAGTTCCATGTCCTTTTTATGTTGAGGACACCAGAACTGCACACAATACTCCAGGTGAGGTCTCACAAGAGCAGAGTAGAGGGGCAGGATCACCTCCTTCGACCTGCTGGTCATGCTCCTTTTAATGCAGCCCAGGATACGGTTGGCTTTCTGGGCTGCAAGCACACACTGTCGGCTCATGTTCATTTTCTCATAGACCAACACCCCCAAGTCCTTCTCTGCAGGGCTGCTCTGAATCTCTTCTCTGCCCAACCTGTAGCTGTGCCTGGGATTGCTCCGACCCAGGTGTAGGACCTTGCACTTGTCATGGTTAAACCTCATGAGGTTGGCATCAGCCCACCTCACAAGTGTGTCAAGGTCCCTCTGGATGGCATCCCTTCCCTCCAGGGTATCAACCGAACCACACAGCTTGGTGTCATCGGTAAACTTGCAGGTGAGGGTGCACTAAATCCCACTGTCCATGTCAGCGATGAAGATGTTAAACAAGACCGGTCCCAACACCGATCCCTGAGGGACAGATTTTTAAGATGGTCTCGAACCAGCTCCTCTCCTACAGTGGGCGCAAGGTCTTCATTCTCACAGTCCCTGCATCTGCCTTCCAAGACTTGGGTGGTTTGGTCAGAGCCTTTGGCAGTGAAGACCGAAGCAAAGAAGTCATTCAGAACCTCAGCCTTCTCCAAATCCTGTGTAGCCAGTTCTCCTGAGAGCTTCCTGAGGGGGCCTACGTTTTACCTAGTCTGGTTTTTATTTGCTATGTACCTGTAGAATCCCTTCCTGTTATCTTTAATACCTCTAGCTAAGTTTAATTCTAACTGAGCCTTAGCTTTCCTAACCTGGTCCCTAGCTTCTTGGACAACATCCCTGTACTCTTCCCATGCCACCTGTCCTTGCTTCCACCTTTCATAAGCCTCTTTTTTCATTTGAATTTTCCTCAGGAGCTCCTTATCCATCCAAGGAGGTCTCCTGGCCCTCCTGCTGCACTTCCTTCTGGTTGGGATGCAACACTCCTGAGCTTGTAGCAGGGGATCCTTGAATGTCAACCAACAGTCTTGGGCCCCCCTGCCCTCTAGGGCTGTATCCCATGGAACCTTACTAAGCAGGTTCCTGAAGAGGCCAAAGTCTGCTCTTTTGAAGTCCAGCGCAGTGAGCTTGCTGCACACTCTTCTCACTTTCCTGAGGATCTCAAATTTGAGCATCTCATGATTGCTGCATCCAAGGCTGCCCTGGAGAGTCACATTTCCAACGAGCCCTTCCCTGTTGGTGAGCACGAGGTCAAGCATGGCACCTCTCCTTGTCGGCTCCTCTATTACTTGCAGAAGGAAGTTGTCTTCTACACAATCAAGGAACCTCCTGGATTGCTTATGCCTGGCCGTACCGTCCTTCCAACAGACGTCAGGGTGGTTGAAGTCACCCATGAGAACAAGGGCCTGCGAGCGTGAGGCTTTTCCTATCTGTCTATGGAGTGCTTTATCCGCAGGTTCTCCTTGATCAGGCGGTCTGTAACAGATCCCCACAGTAATGTCTCCCATATCTATATTCCCTTTAACCCTGACCCACAAACTCTCCGTGGACTGCTCACCTGTCCCCAGACAGAGTTCCATACTCTCCAGCCTATCCCTAACATAAAGGGCAACTCCCCCTTCCTGCCTGCCAGGCCTGTCCTTCCTAAAGAGCCTGTAACCTTCCATTCCAACACTCCAGCTATAGGAGCCATCCCACCATGTTTCTGTGATCCCTATTATATCATACCACCGTAGATGTGCACACATCTCTAATTCCTCTTGTTTGTTCCCCATGCTACGGGCCTTTGTATAGAGGCATCTGAGCTGAGCTCCAGCTGAAGCCAGCTCATTGGCTGGAGCAGCTGGGATATCTCTACATTGCTCCAGGCATTTATTATAGGTGCTGGCAACTGACTGGGTGTGTTGGAATGGAATGATGCTCCCCTCCCCCAACACATCTAGT